ACTATTATACAAGTTATCATAATGGAAATTAAACACCGCCGAACAGAGAGAAGGCGAAGACAGGCGATGAGGGGCTCTTCGTTCATTAGCAAGGCGTCGTGTAAGTATTGTATTCGTCCTTTGTCTATATAGCATTAGCACCATCTACTGGGTTTAAATTATAGTACTTACTAATTCAAAATACTATTCTCAGTCAATGAGATAAACACATTTAGTCATATACATTTAGACATATTTCAACAAGAAAACACATTGTATAGACACACTCACTTAAAATGCAAGAACATTAAAATATTTTATTGGTTGAAAGAACACAAAACCATAGCAAGGGAAATGGATTAAGTACTCATTTTTTCTAAATGAAAAATGAGTACTTAATCATTAAACAATAATAGAATTTGCTTGGCCATGGGGCACAGGGCTTCTGTGATTTTTTTGTGTGTTATTAGGTGCGCGTGATGTAGTGAGGGTTTCTACTTCAGTTGTCTCAGGGCAGCTCCAGCTCCCTGCAACACACAATACATTTGGCAAAATCAATGCCAGGGTACAAAAGAACATGACTTCAGCTATATACTCTTCATTTTTATTTACATTTTTAAATCTCAAAATGAAAAATGAGTACTTATTTCTGTGTCTGCACTCATAACTAAAAGTGCAGATACAGAATTAAAAAATGAATCTAGAAGCATCATATTAAGTTTAAGAGAATTTTTGTTTTGTTTTAGGGTGAACCACGGTGTACTGCCGACTGAACCACCATGTACCCCTACTCAGCATGTACTTAAATGGCCAGTCTGACCCTTCGCCCGATTTTCGCCTCACTCGAACCACCATCACCCGTCTGGTTAGCCACCTGAGGAGTGCTCATCACCAGGGCTGGAGCCAGGACATGGAGGTTTTGGTCTTCCTCTTTTGGTTGGCCAGTGGCACCGCGTACCGTGTTGTCGCCAGGGCATTTGACATGCCCCAGTCCACAGTCCACGATGTGATCCACAGGGTGGCCAACCAGATCCTTCAAATGCGTGGCCAAATAATTCATTTCCCTTTCCTGGAGGAACTTCCCCAAGTTGTAGCTGGGTTTCAGTTGCTGGCTGGATCAGCTGCTCTCAATAATGTTGTGGGGAGCATCGACGGCTGCCACATCAGAATAAAGCCCCTTCAAGAGAATGCACAGTGTTATTTTAACAGGAAATTGTTTTATTCTATTCAAATGCAGGCTGTGTGTAATCACCGTGGCTTATTTATTGATTTGTTTGTTGGCTACCCCGGATCTGTGCACGATTCTCGAGTGCTTAAAAACAGCCCCTCTACGTCCACCGGCTCTATCCCCCAAATGGACACGTCCTCCTTGGTGATGGGGGTTACCCTTGCCTCCGTCAGCCCATCACACTCCTCACTCCATACAGAGAGCCGTTTCGGAGCCCAGTGGAAGCCCGCTTCAACCAGCACCATGCACGGGCACGATCTGTAACAGAAAGAGCGTTTGGCATGATGAAGGCAAGATGGCGATCCATTTTTTTTAAGGCACTGGAAGTCCAACCCACCTTTGCAGTCGAGGTGACTGCCTGTTGCGCCATCCTGCACAACATCTGCATCAGCGATGGTGATCTCTGGGAGCCAGTGGAAGAGGAGCCAGGGCCTGATGACGAGCAGGACAGCATCAGCAGCACCAGCCTGATCAGCAGTGTGGACAGGAGCTGCATGGACGGATGGCAGCAGCACTTTCCACCCCAAGGGACTATTAATTAAATGTTTGAATAATCTGTGTTTTGGCCTATTTAAATAAAAACAAAAACAATTGAATATGTAAATATCTAAAAAGAAATTGTTGAATGTATGTATAGTTTTCTTTACAAATGTCAAGTTGATTAAATTTTTTGTGTGTAAATAGTGTGCATCATTGTATGTCCATATGCATATAGTTCACACTACACTTATCAAAATAAATTTTTATCTACTATTTACAACTTCTCTCCAACAAACTCAACAGTCTCTCCTTTCTCTCTTCCTCTCTTCTTCCCCTCTCCTCTTCTCGCTTCTCCCTTTCCTCTTCCTTCTTCTCCACCTTCTCCAAAAAACTAATTCAACTCTCCCTCCTCGGCCTCTTGGCTGCCACACTGCTTTCCTCTTCCTCTTTCCTCCCCCATGGATGAGGCAATCAGGCAGGGAGGCTGCACGGATGGCCTGCTGCCTATTGCCTCATCCATGAGGGAGTACCACTTCCAAGATATGGCGATGGGCTCCCCTCCTTCTGTCCCTGTCCCTGTGCGTGGCTGTCTGAGCTCCTTAAAACAGTGAGTTTTGTATAATAAATGCTTCACAAATTAGCTTCAAAGAAACAAACCTTGTAGGTCTTTTTCAGGTTCTCCCACTTCTTGGCCGCTCTGGCAGGGGTGATCATTTCCTTTATCACTGCCCTAAAGTAACGATACATAAAAACATTTGAATATGAGTAGACGTTTTTTGAATAAGTATTTATTCATAATGGTCATACTCCCATCCAGCCGCCGAAGCAAATTTTTCACCCGCAGTCAGATGAGTCTCTCCACATCAGTGTCTGTCCCTTTAAAAAACATTAAACACACAATAAATGCTATACATATAACACAAGTGCTTTAATAACATTAATGACTGACCACCAGTGACCCGTTTCTGTAGCGTTCGCTTTAGATGTTAATGTTATGATATGCGAAAATGCTAACACTTTCGCGGCATAACATTGGTACGTTGTTTTGCAGTAAAAGGCAATGGTATTCAAATGTGTATTTTGGCAGCTTATCGTCAACAATATATCACGGTTTACACATTTACATATTTATGATGATTAAAAACTCACATTTGGAGCTCATGTCCCGCTCCGCGTCCAGCTCGTCTCTCTGTGCCTCCGCCATTTTACTTCCGTCTAGTGACCATCGCTGCTCACTACATGTTCGAGATGCATTGTGGGAAAATTCCAGTGCACTACTTTTTCTCTCTGGACATTCGGACACCCCTACAAAATGGCGTGACCACTATATAGTGCACTATATAGGGTATAGTGTGGACATTCGGATACAGCCCAGGTGTAAGGGAACTAGCTAACACTTATGTCAACAGGTGTTAGGGAACTAGCTAACACTTATGTCAACAGGTGTTAGGGAACTAGCTAACACTTATGTCAACAGGCGTAAGGGAACTAGCTAACACTTATGTCAACAGGTGTAAGGGAACTAGCTAACACTTAGGTCAACAGGTGTTAGGGAACTAGCTAACACATATGTCAACAGGTGTTAGGGAACTAGCTAACACTTAGGTCAACAGGTGTTAGGGAACGAGCTAACACTAACATAAAGCTCATCCCATTTTGCAGACGCTAAAAGATTAAACTCATAATAATTGGATGTTTAAATCTTGGACTGTAGTAAAAATGTGGCTCCTTTGAGATATTTCCACAGTCTCGATGGAACAGAGCAGAATTTATTGTAGTCGCGTTTATTTAGACTAAAACCAAGTGTAAGTGTTTATGAACACAGTGTTACAGCTACAGTGTGTGCGGTGTCACCAAAAGCCCCAGGTCATTTGTTTATGTGTAAATAAATATCTGTACAAGCTTAGTGCTCGAAGCAAACAAACTGATCCATAAGCATTATTCTATTGTTTTAGTTCAGTTTATAGAAATAATAAACAAACTAGCAAACATTTCGGTTTCCTTGAACGGTCTCCTGTATTCTATGACAGTTGTGCTGCGTTCAGTCCAAGATGGCAGCGTTACATTGATTATTCAATCTAACGTTTTACAATAATAGGTTAAATAGGTAAGAAAGAGCCTTTTGAGTCACTGTTTAACACTTTGGGCGGAGTGAGGGTTCTTTCTTTTTCAATTTTCTGCCTGAAAAAGCTTATCTAAAGTTTGGGTTGCTATTAGCCTGGCCTTAGCCATCCGTACACTCCGCTCAATCATCATTTCACTGCATGTAACGTCTGGGTCTGGTCCCTGTGTTAGCGAATACAATCGGTCGTATTTCAACCGGCTACTCAGAGAGCGCGGAAGGCGGGTGTTGTACGTTGGTGCCGGTGACGTCAAGAGTTTGCGCCGAACAGGCAGGTTGTAGTTTGGTAATGGCGAAGAATGCGATAGTAAAGTAATCCGGTCTGGTTCTATCAAGAAATTGAAGCAGGAGCAAGAGGAATGTTTAGCAAATGTAATCGCTGGCAAAGATTGTGGCGCTACTCCCCACTGGCTCCGTTAGCGGCAAAGGAGATGGATAGGCTAAATGCTAAATGCTAACAACTCACTCGGGCGCACTACATACGTCACGGTAAACTCAGATCCAATCGTTTCAATCTGCAAAAGGAGTTAACCCCTCCCACCTGTTCACGGAGCTCAGTGGAGCAAATCCAGACCTTAGTATGAAATGTCATTTGTACTAAGGTGTGGTACAACCAGGCTGGGTTGCTATCAATTTTGGCCACTTATGGGCGGCACAGTGGCTGAGTGGATAGTACTCTAGCTTCTAAGCAAGGTCATGGGTTAGAATCCCGGTCGGAAAAGGGCCTTTCTGAGTGGAGTTTGCATGTTCTCCCCGTGTCTGCGTAGGTTTCCTCAGGGTGCTCTGGTTTCCCCTACCACTAAAAACATGCACAATAGGTATGAATGTATACTGAGTGAATGAATGGATGAAATGGAAAACAATATCTGATCTTGGAAAAATAAAGCGCTTTGGGTGACCATGGTCTGTAAAAATGCGCTATGTAAATAAACATTACTTACTTACGTGACAGAAGCTAAATACATGCATTTGAACCAAACTGTTTATATCCGTTGTGGTTTGAACCCCAGCTTTAAGGAACGTAGATCTATCTTTCTAGCTAACTCTCTGTGGATATTCGCTCATAATTTGACCTCTTTGTTTGTGTCATATTCTGTGAAAAATGAAATGTTATTGTCACTCGTCAAAACACACTTTTTTTAACAATGGAGCCTAAACACATTTAGCGGCTAAGACTCCGGCACAAAATGTTTATTTCCCCACTTCAAATTGGAAGTGCTGTTCCATCTCTGTGGGAACTGTCTCGGAGCTGTCCCCGCTGACTCGGGCCTCTCTCCTGAAATCACCATTTCTCTTCATCTTGATTTTCCAACCCACACACGCCACCTCCTGCTCCTTCCCTCCTGAGATGGCGCCTGTCGGCCATCTGCGGATCCCTGTTAGAGGCTCTCCAGGCGGCTAAACCAGAACTCCCATGAGCTATGTGAGTCCTTCGTCCAAATCCCTGCCCGGGCTAAGCTGCCATCGCCTCCTCTCTGTCCGCCCCCCCCCAGAGTCTCTGTCTGCCTCCCCCTCACTCTCTGTCCGCCTTCACTCAGACTCTCTGTCCGCCTCCCCCCACACCTCCATCCCTCCTTCAAACTCTGCTCTGTCATGTTCCCTCAGCCTCAGTCCTGCCTTTTGTATTTCTGTATATTGCTAGAAAACCACTTTCGACTCAGTCCTGGATCTACAGCCTCGGTCCTGGATCTACAGCCTCAGTCCTGGATCTACAGCCTCAGTCCTGGATCTACAGCCTCAGTCCTGGATCTACAGCCTCAGTCCTGGATCTACAGCCTCAGTCCTGGATCTACAACCTCAGTCCTGGATCTACAGCCTCAGTCCTGGATCTACAGCCTCAGTCCTGGATCTACAGCCTCAGTCCTGGATCTACAGCCTCAGTCCTGGATCTGCAGCCTCCATCCTGGATCTACAGCCCATCCATTTGTGGGAGCAGATCTTTTTGTCTATGTGGGCCTCCGCTAGGTTTCTCACTTTTTCCCACTGGGTTTTACAGTTGCTCCTCTCTGATGCAGGAGGGTCTAAGGACAGTGGTGATGATCCAGGATACTCCACATTCAACAACATTTATGGACATTGGTCATTTGCCCCTTTTGGACCAATTACAATGTGCTTTCTATTGTTTGAACTGTCTGTTTCCCTGATCTGTTTTGGCAAATTCAACAGTTTTGTAAAGTCCTCTGAGATAACTACTGTTGTGTTTTAGGGCGATATGAGAATAAATTGAACTGAATTATTAAACTGATTTACTAAATAACTTCCACAACTGTAATATTGACCTTCACCGTAGGTTATTCCAGGGGTATTAGATCAATTCCGATGTTGCAGCGCACATACTGTACAGGACACTAGTGAGAGCACACAGGGAACAAACAAAAGAGCAGTAAGGAACGACCTGCAGAACCCGTAATGTATTTTTAGTTTTTGTTATTGTGCTGCCAAATATCCCGGCAAATAAGTTTTGCACAGCTCTTTATGTTTAATTTTTTTAATTTATTTTTTTGTAAATGAAATTTTATTGTATTCAACACCAAGTAAAGAAGTAACAGTTGGTAATAAAACAATTAAACGAAAGTAAATACACATTTACATTTTTTTTTTTTAATGCACAGCTCTTTATAGGCAGAGATCTTATTTAATATTTTCATTTATTTGTGCTATGTTTGCTACTCATTCCTACTGGTTTGGTAACTGGTGATGAAACACTGATATTTAATCTTATGCAGCAACCAATAGACTTCATGCAAACGTAACTCAATAAACACCCCCTAATACATATTTTTTTCCTAACTTAATTCTCTCTTACTAAATAGAAATTAACAAGGTTCCCACTGTGTTCACAGCCTTCATAAGCAAAACTGTGCAAAGTGAGGTGAATATCACAGTGGATATTTCAACCTTTCACTCTGTGTGCCAGTACCTTCCATCTTTAAAATTCTCATTCACATTTTCCGCCCTGAGCCCATTTGCCATTTCGGTTTCCAATGCCACTGTCGCCTCCCTTCCCTTTGTGCCTTTTCAGTGAATCTCGGTGGTGAGTGGTGTTTTAATAATTCATCCCGTTTCTAATCTTAACTTGTAAATTGTTAATCAGGAGCAGAGCAGGGTGACACCTCCTCTTGTCCCATCTCTGCTCTCTGGGCCGGAGCCTCGCTGATTTGCTCTTCTACTTTAATGGCGATCCCAGACATTCCATCTGCCCTAAGAGACAACACTTATCTCTATACACTGTCCATATCTGACAGGGATGGGCCTTTCATCCAATTCACTGTCTTAAAAATAACTCTTAATAATAATAATAATATTAATAAATGGGGTGGACTTTAGTCAATGGTTTGTCTGCATGTCCAACTCACAATCTCAGATGTCTGCGTCTGTGCAATCATTTACAACAAAGGTCAGAATGCGAAATATAAATTCGCTATTCACTGTCACTGTGTCCCAGACCCTCATGCTGCTAACATCTACAGATGTATACATACAACTATATATTTCTGCACTATAATACATAGTAGTTTACACTAAAGTTAGAGATTTGATACATGCCTCTTTATTCTGCTAAAGTTACCCCATAAAGTTACCCCACCCATTATCAGAATTACACCCATGATCTCTCCCTAAAAAAATCCTACCCCCTAATAAACTGTTTAGCCACAGCTGCAGCCCCCGAACCATAAAGCTTTATGGTTCACATTTTCAGGCTTTACTGCATTAACATTATAGCGGAGAAGGATCAGATAATACCTTGGTCTTGACCCTGCGGGGACACTGTCGACTTAAACCCCTCTGTGATTGAGTCAGCAGTAAAGAAAAGTGTGCTCAAGTTACTTTATAATGTGCTTCTTCAGAACGTTGTTGGCTTTGCTGCAACTTCATTCAATTAGGAATCAGTAATGGCCAGTTGAGGATCAGTGAGCGGAGCAGAAATGCTGCTTTTTAGAAGTGGATCTAAAAAGCTATTATTTTCTCAAATGAAGGATCTAAAGATGGGATGTTTTACCACAGTGGATAAACCCTTTAGGCCTGAGAGTTTATAGAAATGTTATGAGAAAAAGGTGCTGGATCTGGAACTTTATCCGACACAGAGGACTACTAAAATAAATGACTAATAACAAAATATGCAAGAAAAAATTAGATTGTGGATTAAGAACCCCATAGCTATTCTGTTACTTTGGCACTGGCTGTTTTAAATGCAATATTGAATGAATAGAAATAATTACTAACCCAATCACCGTCTATTTGCATGAGCTCAATGCCTTCTCCAAAATGTAAGTGCACCCATCCATCTGGAGTGTAGGGGATGAATGAGTTTGGAATGCGAGGTGTCTCAGAGCACAAAGCAACGTTGTAAGAACAGCTTTAACCTCTTCCCGATTTGTAAACAACTGATGATGCAAACACAACACACACAGAGACACAGACAGTTCCTCAGAGTCTCTTCCCAGCTCCATTCAAATTAGTTTGATTGAAGACAAACACTTACCATTCCTCTCGAGGCATCTCCCCAGTGTTAGCTGGTGCTAGCTGGTTTTAGATGGTGTTAGCCAATGACCATAACTTGCATACATTTGGCTAAACCACTTCCAAGATTTTTGGTTCCGCCCACTCTTGCTCTTGTGATCTTTGATTTCACAGTAGTCACTCTTAAGCTTCTTATGTTTTTCTCTGCACTGTGATGATGTCCAATAGTATGCATTCTCCTCTATCCTTACCACTACCTCTACAAACACATTCTGGTTTCTGGCACCATCAAGCTCAGGCTGAGTGTGTCCTCTCCTCAAACGCTGGAAGGCGTGGCAGAGGCCTTGCAGAGTCTATCTTAGGTAAAAGCCCTGGTCCACCAGACTTGTGGCTTTGCTTAGAGCGTGGGATTCAGGTCTGTGGAACAGGTCTTGCCTCCCACTTGCTCCTTTTTTATGACAAGGTTAAAAATTTTGATTCTTGTCTTGCACAATAAAAACGCAAGTATAAACGCTCTAATTTTAGCATAATAAAGAAGAAAGTACAACATCTCTAACTTTAGCATAATAAAGAAGTCTAAAATATACAAAATTCTGAAAAAGAAAACAGAAGACACATTAGACTTGAAGTACAGTTACAGTGGAAAGTAGTGTATCCCAAAATGTATCTATTTATTTTTATTTTATTTCTTTTAACTTTAATTGGAAGCATCAAGCAGGACACATTACTCACAGAAACAAAGCTAAGCAACACATATTTACATTACATTGTACCAGTGTGAAACAGAAAGTGGGAGGGAGTATTTTATTTACACAGAGACACTGTGCCATGTTTACATCTCCCTGATGGTGCAGTTATCCAGATGACCTGAAGGGGGAGGTGTGTTCTTGTGAAACTCTGCCTGAGTTCCTGAGTCTGGTTCATGTGTGTGCATTGACATATAAAGAGTAGACGCAGCATCGACCGCTACAGCCTATTGGTGCTGACGGGCCGGGCCGTTGGGCCGCCATCTTGGACCGGTCGCCCGCTCCACTCAGTATAATCTGTTTGGCAGGCGCAGTGTCAGCACATTTAATCAATCATAACACGTTAAAAAGAAAGATACAAGTATAACATCCCTCAGTTGTAGCACAGCTAAACAGAACTGTTTTGAACCTGGATTAAAACATTGTCAGAGAGGAGGCCTGTCTCACATTATCATGAAGATTGTTTCAGATTTTAGCTGCATAAATCTGAAATGCTGCCTCCCCATGTTTAGCTTTGGCTCTGGGCACTAGCAGGAGGCCAGTCCCTGTGCACCTCAGAGTCCTGGTTGGTTCATATGGGACTAAATGGCAGATTTGAGATGGGACGATAGTTGTTAAGTACCATGGAATCCAGACTGCTCTTTTTTAGAAGGGGCCTGATGACTGCAGTTTTCTGGACATTTGGCAATGTTCTAGAATGAATGGACTTCCATGGGAGACAAAGTGATCTCTAAAAATTGCAGCTATGAACCCCCCCTGGTTTTTGTTTGGTTATAGTTTGGCAATGGCGGTGAATGCAGTAAATGAATCTGTTCTGGTTAGGCTCCCAAATTTCAAGAAATGGAAGCTGGAGTAAGAGGAATGTTTAGTGAATGTCATTGTTGACAAAGATGTTGTGGCTCTACTCTACTCACTCAGGCGCATTACATTCGGTAAACTCAGATCCAAACATTTCAATCTGCAAAAAGGAGTTACCCCCGCCCAACTGTTGATTGAACTCAATGGAGCCAATCCAGACTTAAGTAGGAAATGAAATGTGTCTTTTTGTTGTGTAGACTTTGTGTTATCACTAAGGGAATTGCACAGGAGGCATTGTGACAGGGCCCCGGGTGAGTCTCTCTTCTAACTAGAGTGCCAGTGGCTGAGAAGACAAGTTGGGTGAATTTTGTTGGTGAATTAGGTGGTTCGGAGGTACGTATGGGGAGTAATTTTGAATGTTAGATGGGACTCTCATAGCACCAGCCCCTCACTGACCCTCTGCAGGTGGTGAGTCCACAGGAGGACGGCTGCTCTCTGAGTGTGAGCAGAGCCTTGATCTTTCAGTGGGGGCTTTTGGGCAAAGTGGGGTTAAGTGTCTTGCCCAAGGACACAACGACAGCAGTCATCAG